TTTTTTATGTGTTCTCAACTGGACCGTGCCAAGGACATTCTGTGAGTAGAAATATTGTTTTTTTGTTGTAGCACCTTATTACGGGGCTTTGAGGTGTGCAGCAACTGACTTGGTCTGACACAATTGTGCCGCCCCATTAACCACAATGTGGTGGCGGTGATGATGTCCATTTTTTTGTTCCGTGCTGTGACACCGCCCGTTATGGCTCTGATTCCAATTGTCACACTTGCCTTCGCAGTCTACGAGGACAACAAGGAGATTGTGTATGCGTATGGAGAGATGCATTCTTGGAATTACACTCAGAGTCGAGAAGCAGAACGCATGCATTTGAAAACATGCTCAAGTTTAATACGTAGGCTTTCGCGACCACTATTAACCATAACAAAGGTTTTTTGGGGGGTTAGATTGCATGAATATTGTGTCGTTAAACCCGCCACCACCCGACACAGCCAATTAGTAAGGTTTGTCACCGAAATAAAACGTGCCAATTCGTTACTAGTTCAGCACACGGGTGTGTTGGAAAGTAAACCCACAACATTTACAATTCAAGTCCGACGTTTTGCTGGTGATTACAACCAGCTTCACCAGGCGATTTAGCCAGAATTGTGAATACGTCTTCCTGTTTTGGTCATTGCTCAAGTTACAGACATCAGATTGACCGTTGTAACGTTCTAGATTTGAAGCTTTCGTGGCTGCAAGGATTCATATTCTTAGGTTTTTTCGGTAAAGTCACGTAGGTAAAAAAATTAAATTAATAAAAGTAAAATAAAAAAAATCACGACGTTTCGGAGGCAACACAAGCATTCACAGGTGGAACAGTCACAGCACAATAGCTGTATCAAGTGACACAGGTGGAACAGTCACTTGATACAGCTATCGTGCTGTGACTGTTCCACCTGAAGACGGAAGCTTGTGTTGCCTCCGAAACGTCGTGATTTTTTATTTATTTTTATTTTACTTTTATTAATTTTAATTTTAACTTTTTACCTACGTGACTTTACCGAAAAAACCTAAGAATACGTTGTACGTTCTTATCCGCCCTAACTGGACATCTATGAAAAATACCTTCATAGCTCATCGGATTCCTCCAGGATAAATATTCTGATTCTGATACCGCTAGAAGGGATGACGGCCGATGTTTGACATTAATCACAGATTTCCAGCCAAGGGAGGGAAATCATACTAGATTGTACGTCCGCTGCAGAGATGTAGCCATGGTATTAGCTCATGTGCAGGTGCTGGATGGAATGCTACACCACAACACTTCCCCATGAGGAGATGGTGATGGCTTGGGGAGGACATCATCCAGCAGTAGAAATGATCATGGCTGATGTTTGTGTAAAATAAATGGAAGTGTTTTCCCACGTGCACAAGCGCGAGTCACTTTTTTTTAACACATAGGCATTCGTGACTAATATTATTTATGATAAAAAAAATATGTGGGGCTAGGCCAGGGCCGGATTAACATTTTGTAGACCCCTGGGCTACAGGTAGTGTGAGGCCCTCAGTAATATTTTCAAAAGGAAAACAAAGTTAAAGATTTTTTTTTTCACAAGGCTAACAAAAAATACAATTCAGCATTCACAAATGAAATAACTTTTCACTTTTTTTCGATTTAAAGCTTTCGTGACTGCAGGGATTCATCTTCTTGGTTCTTTCGGTAAAGTCACGTAGAAGGGAAGTAATAAAATAATAAAAATAAAACATAATAAAATAATTCTCACGACGTTTCGGCCACAACGCAAGCAGCCGTCCTCAGGTGAAAACCAGCTCTGTCGAGGCGACAGCGTCTGAAACGTTGTGAGAATTGTTTTATTATGTTTTATTTTTATTATTTTATTACTTCCCTTCTACGTGACTTTACCGAAAGAACCAAGAAGAACGTTTCACTTCATTCTCTGGAGGCCCTTCCAGCTGACGGAGGCCCCTGGGCTGCAGCCCCTAAAGCCCTCATGCCTGAATCTGGCCCTGGGTTTAGGCACGTTCTCATCACGTGACAAACCTTACTAATTGGCTTTGCCGGGTGGAGGTGGGTGGGTGGGTGTACAACACGTTTACGTTTCCGTGAATGAACTCAACTGAAAACTTGGCTATCATGAGTTGGCTATCATCTGAGCCGGTGGAAAAAATGAAACTCCACAATTCTATGGTAGGAGTGAGGCTTTATTTAGGATACTCACTGCGGATTGGCAATAAAGCAATGCTGTACTCATTTTATAATCATGGAGAGTTGAAGCATCGAATCATTATCGCTATATCGTATTTCATACCATTACTAAATATTAGGCGATAATTACTCAGTGACTGAGTGCGTGATTTCAAATCTAATCATACGTAGGAAGGGCTCGAAAGATAACATTTGAGGCCAAATGTAGTTAAGCATATCTTAAGCACTATCATCATTGATGAACATTTATCCTTGTAACTAGAAAAGATAAATAAAAAAACTTTTGGCTCACAAAACTTATGGCCAGGGGGTTAATTGGTTTTACTAGTAGGGTAGTGTCAGCCTAAAATTTTAATGATGATGATTATCTCCACAATCATAGAACCAAGAAATATTCCACCCGTGGAGTGTGTTTCCTAAGCCATTAGAATGTACCATGCCTGCTACAGGTCACCAGTTTATGCGTGTGTCACGCATACAGTTGTTCTGTGCCGCCATGTCCTTTCTCAAAGACGTCGGCAATCATGGCCATCTTCCATTCAGCTCTGCCTATGATATTTACTCAATAACTTTTGCATCGGGTACCCCGGGATGCATTCAATTTTTCAGATTTCTGAAGTCGTTCGCCATCTTTCCCGCCATCTTGTAGCTGCGAATTTTCTCCAAGTCAAAACGTATTCAATCTCTCATGTTCTCATGACAAAGTCTAAGAACTCTAACTTGCCTTCTCGAATCGATTGTTTATTTTCTTTCTGCGCCCAGCTATCCGAAATGCATGTGCGTTGCTCAGCTTGTCTGTCCATACGGCGTGCGCGTGACAGTAGGACACACTGATGTGCCAACGTTCTCGAGTTTGGCTGCATAATTTATGACACTGGGAGGATTACCGAAGGCCGTCGCTCTTTAAGTGTTTGTTAAATTCCCCGCACGAGTTTACAGCTTCGTTGACATGTCCTTGCAGTGCTGTAAATTTAGGTTTGGTTATATCTTGATTTGAAGCTTTCGTGACTGCAAGAATCCAGTTAATTTAACAAGTAGGCTTTCGCGACCAATACCATTTATAGTATAGGGTTTTTTGTGTGTTAGATCTCGTAAATATAAATGTGTCGTTAAACCCGCCACCACCCAACACAGCCAATTAGTAAGATTTGTCATGTAAACAGAACGTGCCAATTTGTTACTATTTCAGCACACCAGGGGGGGGGAGGGAGGGGAGGGGCTGCCATAAAGGGCGAGAGGGTGGGGTTGATATTCAGAGAGGGAACAAGGAGAGAGACAAAGAAAAAAGATCAAACTTAGCAAACTTAGAAATATAATGCAACTCAGAGAGTCGGCCAACACAACAGTTAACACTTCACCTGGTTGATCAACGTCCTTCCAAAGATTGCTAAAATTTGCATTCATCTTCTCGGTTAAAGTCGATTGCTCGCGTTGCGATCGAAACGACGTGATCTATTCGTTATTTTCTATCCACGTGACTTTATCGAAAGAACCAAAGAGTATGAATTCCTGCAGTCACGAAAGCTTCAAATCAAGATGTGAGAATTGTTTATTTACAAGGTATGCAATATGCATACTCTTAGGTTTTTTCGGTAAAGTCACGTAAGTAAAAAATAAAATTAAAATTAATAAAAGTAATAATAGAAATAAAATAATAAATCACGACGTATCTTGATACAGTAAATCTAGCTGTGACGGTCCCACCTGATGACGGAGACTTGTGTTGCCTCCGAAACGTCGTGATTTATTATTTTAATTTATTTCTATTATTACTTTTATTAATTTTAATTTATTTTTTTACCTACGTGACTTTACCGAAGAAACCTAAGAGTATGAATCCTTGTAGTCACGAAAGCTTCAAATCTAGAATGCAATATGCGTGCCAATTATTGCCTCCCGATCCATTTAGCCTCAACGGAGCAAACATAACTTTACAAAGGGGGAGAAAAGTAATTTGATAAACGATACAAACGAGGCAATAGAAATGAGACGCAAAAAGAAAACACCCTCGAATCAAGTGGCGAATTCGAGTCATGGGAATTCGGCGAATCATTCGTGGGCCTGAAGCGTTAGCACCATCGTTGTCGTATCTGCCCTTCTTCGATCTGAGGGCTGGCTGCGAAATGGACTCTCCTGCACCAACGGGCTCCGTTGTTTCTAGATTTGAATCTTTCGTGACTGCAAGGATTCATACTCTTAGTTCTTTCGGTAAAGTGACGTAGGTAAAAAATGAAATAAAAATTAATCAAAATAAAATAAAAATCACGACGTTTGCTGCAGCAAATCTGGCTGTGACGGTACCACCTGATGACGGAGACTTGTGTTGCCTCCGAAACGTCGTGATTTTTATTTTATTTTTATTAATTTGAATTTCATTTTTTACCTACGTGACTTTACCGAAAGAACTAAGAGTATGGGCTCCGTTGTTGGCAATCATTGCGAGCGGTTGTTCCACACTGATCCCTACCCAAGCAGCGTTCTTACTCGCCCCTACTGGACATGTGTGAAACATAACTTTATATTTCATTGGATCTTTCAAGTATAAAGAAATAGTCTGATTCTTTCTGGTTCGGTAAATCCAAAAGTTTTGGGGTTGGCGTTTACAAAACCTGAAGAAAAAAAATAGGCAACAAAAAATGTGTGAAACTAACAATGGAATTGTAAAAAGATAAAAAAGGAATTTAATTTTGAAGAGAACCACTGCTTGGAATTTGATTGATTTGCTTGGGGTTAGGTGGGGGTGAGTTGAATTAATCTGTGTATATAATACCATTGTACAATAATCAATATGTGTATATAATACCATTGTACAATAATGCCCGCAGCTCACACATCTCTTTGATCAATTTTATTCTCAACAGAAAATAAATACAAATGCATTGCCTGCTGTAATGCACAAAGTATGTGGCGCTTATAAATAAATTACAATATATTGTGACTGAAGAACACCCATACTGTGCAACAGTTAGGTACAAGATCAGGATAAAGATGTGAAGCCACATCTAATAATGCTTCACTGCATGGTAAGCTAACAGACTTGAAATTCTGGATCTGCAAATACAAATAGCAACATTTATACAGTACAATGTACAAATACACCAAAATGAACTTGCGTTAAATTATTTCGCATTAATAATTAGATATTTTTAAAGTCTATTTTTCTTGATTGCCAATGTGCTTTGGATGTCAGTTTTGAGTAGACATCCTTATTTATTTTCCTTTGTGCAGTTTTGTTTTAACCTTTTACGTGTTCTAAAAATCACTGATCCCAGTTCGGCACAACACACACACACGCACGAGTCTCCTGAATTACCATGCTCCCACCGTGTGTCCAATGTAACCTCAACTCTGGTAGACAGAGAGGCATCCTCTGCTTGGCATGCAACATGTCCACTCAAAACCCCCCTTCCTCATGTTATACGCTCGGAGCTCGGTACAATCAAATCAAGTGCAAGCACAAAATCCCGAACCAGTGCTGTAGCGTGCTTGGCATGGGCCCTGATGCAATGAAAGAAATAGGGCCCGCACTGTCCAATTTCTCCTGCTCTTTGAAGCCTGGCAACTGAGCCGCCCCTACCCACCCCACCCCGCTCCAACCCATAGCCCCTTTGTGCAGTTGCACCGCCTGCACACTTGATAGCTACGCCGCTGGCTGGAAATGATAACATTTTGTGCAGTCGTCGTCATAGGCTGCAATGGAAATGTCAAACCCATCGGAACGTGTTTTGTTGTTGGTGGAGACAGAATGAAAGGGTTTATTTTTTTAATTGTGTATCAACCCCGGAGTTTGAACTTGAGAACCACTGTGGCGTTCTGCTCGGTACCCTGGTGTGGTGCATTAGCCCTTTGGGTCACAAGATAGCGCTCCGCCAATTTCTCACGAGTGTACGAACCACACTCGAGTCCTCTTGACATTTCATGAATGAGCAGAAACACCACACAAATTGTTTTCTTATCGTGAGAAAAGTATGGTATTCACATTTAAATGTTTTATGCAAAATTACCATTTGAGCACAGTACTTGTGTTGGCGCTACCCAAGTGTCCTCTGCCATGATAACAGATTTACAACGGATTAATTTTATTTCAAAGAATAACTACGTTAATCATGAATTTTTTCACCAAATATTACAAGGGAAAAAAATAGCTTAATACAATTCTAAATGAATGTTTTGCACTTACCCTTCACCATTAGCTTTCATTCATACGTATCTTTTTGGCCACTAAACATGCCCTGTGCTTGCAATGAGCCAATTGAATAATCCGGGAAAGGAGATCACGTGCGTGCGTGAGTTAAGTGTGGTTCCAATGCAATGCGTGTAATTTAGAACCAACCGCACATGTGTCGAAGTCAAGCAGCATAACAGATAATAAAAAATCTGTTGAAGTGAACTGCCTTTGGCCTCCGCCTGTACGAGGACGCTCATGTAATTCATATTAAGCATTTTACATCGACGCTGCTGCCGTAAAATGCATCATCGGTATTCATTTCAACGTGCAATAGTGGATTTTAACGCCTATCTCAGTGCACTGCATTGATTCTTACAGAGTCATTTATTCAGGAAAAGGTGTATTTTTAGCACGTTAACTTAATGATCAGCATGACCTTATCAGATTGAACTGGGTGATGCTCAGCGAGGGGTTAAAATGGATGGCTTTGGACTGCACGTTTAAAATTGCTCTTTCTCTCTCCACTTGAAAATCCAAAAAGCTTAGGAACTATACAAATAATATTAAGAGTAATTGTAGCCAATTTTAAAGTTATTCGCAAATAGAATACGGCAGTCTTGTCATTGACTCGAATTATCCTTTGGGCCTGGATAACATTGCTCTGTTTTCGTTTCTGCAACATGCTATTTGAGAGATTAAAGAGGACTAGGCAACCCAATTCGGCAGCGTGGAAGACCGAGTGGGGTTTATTTTCGTACGTGGAAGAAAACGGATGCACGAGCGCTGTACATTGGGTTATCTGAAGAGTATCCTGACAAGTTTTTTCGTGTGCCAATTATATAACGAAATATATATATATATTTTTTAAACCATAAAAATGGTTGCATTTAATACAACGATGTTCTCACAATGAATACATTATCAGTAAATGCACGTGATAAGAGATTCTTAATTATGGCAGCTTAAACCATCTGTCTCTGTTCCTTTGCTGACACAACTTGGGCCGCAAGAGAAAAAAACACAACCGTTGAAGCTCACACACGTTCGTGCCCACAATCCCTTGCATCGCTACACGCAGGCCAATTCTAGAAAACAAGTGGAAGCTCTCATAAATGCTCGTTGTTGGATCTCTCCGATGTGTTCCCTGGTTGTATATTGGGCTGTGGTTTGCCAAGACGTCCTGACGCTCCACGTGCTGGGAGCATTTTTATATTCGATTCCTAAGAAGAAGCTCCGAGCACGTAAAGCCAAAGGTGGGACATCGCGACGAAAACCCATTGCAGAGCTATGAACAGCACAATCGCGAACAACCCCGCGCAGTAGCTTATTATACCAGCAAGTGACCCTGCAAGATCTCAACTTGGGTTGGGCAATTTCCTCTCCAGCAACCCTAATTCAACCCCTACTCAATGCAGCATTTTAGCACCGTATGGAACATTGTACATCCACGTCCGTGCATTTGGCAGCCCCAGGAATTTGCAAAGGAATAACCCGATTGCCTGCATTAGGAGTATGCACCCTTAATGGGTGCGCGTGTGTGCGTGTGTGTGCGTGTGTATGCGTGCGTGTGTACCGTTCCGGCCTTCATAGGTGCTCGCTAACAGCACTTGCCCCTACAGTCTGTTAAGGCTATATGGGGGATCTTTATCTTTGTCTTTGCGTGCGTGTGTGTGTGTGTCATCTCAATTATTTCAAACATAGTGCCCTCGTGATAGGTAGCCGTGCACTATACGTAGTGGCGCGAACACCATATGTACTAAATGATCACGATGTATCTCTTTATCTCTCAAATAACCCGGCACGAAAGTAATTATCATGTTTATTTTGAATATTTATTCCCCGCCCACTCATTTTGTGAATTAGTTTTAACAGGTTGCATCTATTACACGCTGCATTTAGTTCCCTGAAGTTTCATCTTAAGTTATATATGTTTTAAGTTTAACAGCAGCACACTCTATATATCTGTACACAGTTTTAAATCACTTTTCAATATAGATTTTTGTTGTTAAATCAAGTTAAGCGCGGTACATGGGTTTTAATGTGGGGAACACGGTTACAAGCTATAATACACAGTGTACAGAGTCTGCATCAGCAAGACATGGTTGCGAGACATTATCTACAGCATAAGTTTGTTTCAAATGTGCACAATTCATGTCTCTTGTGCGTGCGGTGCGGTGCGTGTCCTGTCATTTTTTATTTTTTGCGAGACGACATTCATTGATTTCGATCATTGCACAACGTGTAACAGAAGCGGCACTTCTAAATTCGGACACGTGGGCATCGGTTTCGAAGAAAAGAAGTGAAGAAGCACTGTTGTGAGAACGCCAACGCGATTGACCCCCGGGGCGCTGATCGTTTGCCACGGCGCGTCACAGCGGCGCATCGCCAAGGTGTCCAATCATACCCGGTGAGGGAGGGGGGGACCGCTTTTTGGTCACGAGCGATCAAAGAGATTGCCCACGTGCATTTTCACATTTTTTTTGTCGTTGCAAGATATCGCAAAAAAAGTGTGCGCGCCGATGGCCTCTCTATGGGGTTTTTTTTCTCTCTCTCTCTCTCTCTCGAAAAAGCTTCTGCTTCCTGAATAAACCCTCAAGCTCCGTTTCAAACCAAGGCACTCGCCCGAGCTCCCATTCCTTCTCCGTTCAGCAGCAATCCGACCGCTAGCCCCTGCACATGCCCTACCTAGAACGTCGGTGGACGTGACCGCGCGGTGAAATCGGCGAAATGAAATATGATTGTGCACTTATGCATAACTCCACGTGGAATGTGCGTTGGTTTTAAAATGATGGTTGGAGAAAGAAAACAAACAAAAAAGCACAGGAGCCCCGTGAAAGAAGGCTGCCGTGTAAAATGAAATTCATCTCCTAGCGTGACAGTGCCAGGAGATTAATATCAGTCCCATCGGTATCCTTTAATTAACCAGGAGGACGAAAATTACCAGTTGAGATGCATGCCACAGCATTGCCTCTTTGCAAGCGTGGCCTGGTTTCACTGGTATCAATTTTACTTCACTGGTACCACCCATCAGTGTTTGTTCTATGACTGTGCATTTGTTGAATATGTACAGTATATACAATACACCTCTTCTAACTTCACGTTTGGTTCACCATTTAATGTATTAATTTCACTTCCCGTTGCTTTAAACAAAAAAAACATCGCTTAAAGCCATTTCTGCTTTTAACGAGGGGTTAAATCACCGTATCGTGCCAAGTTTAGTAAATGGCGTTTAAAAAGCACAATCCAGGATAATGAAGTTCATAGTGACGATGCAACATTTTTCAATTGTTAGATTACATTGCAATTACAATGTATTATAAACGGCAAGGATATATGTAGTAAAACAGGCCTAAAAAAAGTCTCCATATAAAAGTCCCTCGCATTGCTTTATTTATGTATTTGATCAGTTTTTGTTTTATATTGACGTAATAATCACCATCACAAACGTGTGTGGGGCAGCACGAGTTAATATGTTCACATTCCATAAAGTCACGTTTAACAAGCACACGTCTGTGCAAAAAAGATGAATTTGCTCAAAAAGAAATGTTAATCAAAGATTTGTTTTTCATACACGTAGACAAAAGAAAATTTTTTTTGCACATCATAATTTTATATATCTTTTATACATATATTCTGTCTCTTCTTTTACGAAATCATGAACTCAAGTAGCCACGGCTGGCTTCGCCATTATAACAATCTTAAAACCGCGTGTAGAAAAATTAAAATAAATAAGCAGCAGATACTGTATTGGTATTCAACTTCAGTTTTCATAAACACCCAAAAAAAATTTTTTTTGACCACAAACACCCTTTCTTTTTTCCCTGTAATACCACATGCCACAATACAGCAGTTTGTCCTTTTTTCCATTATATATAAATGTAAAAGCACCCGTTAAGTGATTTCTTCAGCGGGGGTTACAAGCGTCTCACTCTTTGATGACCTCCGTCACGCACTTGTCCGTGACGTTGCTGCCATTGTACTTGACCTTGCGATTGCGCTGCGGCTCAATCCACGAGTTGTGGATGACGGCGCCGCTGTGCGGCGGAAGCTGGTCCACCTCCACCACGGACACCACACGCTTCTTCATCTTGTTCTTTAGCACCTTCTGGAACTTCTGTCTGGTGAACGCGTAGAGCAGCGGGTGGAAGATGGTCGTGCCGTAGGCCATGGCCAGGAAGCAGAGTCTGATCTTCACGAGCACGTCGCTCGGGCCCATGCACAGGATGACCGTGTTGAGCACCGAGATGGGCGTCCAGCAGACGAGGAACGTGGAGATGATGATGAGCGACATCCTGAAGACGCGCTTCTGCCTCTCTCGCCTCTCCCTGTGCCTCTTGACGGCGCGCTTGAGCGCCAGGATGACAGACACGGACGTGCGCACCCCCATCGGCGCGTTGTTCTGAGCGCCGCTGCTGTGCGACAGCGTGCTCTCGCGGTGGCCGCTCGACGTGGTGGACGCCGTGTGCGCCGTGCGCTTGCGCTTCTTGTTGGCCGCCTTGCCGGGCTTCTTCTTTTTCCTCTTGGGCGCCGTCACGGAGAACCGCGAGCCGATCTTGATGTTGAGCGCCTGCAGGATTTTGGAGTAGGTCACGAGCATGACGACGGTGGTGATGGCAAAGAAGGGCACCTGGACCAGCAGGTGGTAGTACATGCCCATCTCCTTGTGGTACTCGTTGCGGTTGACGCACAGCAGCGTCTTGTTCTGCCAGGGTTTGGAGTTGGGCTCTTCTGAGGCCGCCTCCATGAAGAAGCTCACCTGCAGAGAGAAGAATCTTAAGTAATCCTACGCTGTCGTCAAGGGAGGAGCGATCGCGCAGTAGTTCACGCAGTGCTACAAACCCGGCCGAACCGAGTTTGATTCCTGGACATGGCACGAAGTGAAATCTGAATCAGTCCTGGCCTCCTCGCGGCCTCCACTGCTCCCAAACCCCTTCACCATCTCGCACTGAACAGCGTGGTGAGGTATGGTCAAACAACCACCACGACTGACGTGTCATGGAGAGAGGCCTTCATTCAGCGGTAGATTGACAAATGAAATATATGAAAATTCTGAAGAGTGCTTAACTTGAAAACAAAAGGTCACAATGGAAGGAATGAAGCGAAATGTTTTTGGAAGAAAATATATACTCGCAAAAGTGAGAGGCAGTCACATTTGAAGGGAATGACGGGAGATACAATTCATATTACACGCACATTCTTCGTCTCAAACTTACAATTTTGCTCTTTAAATTCATATCATTTTGATGCCCGGCACACTGCAGCAATTTATCAAGAATAATTACATCATGCTCCGCTCGGGAACAGCACCCTGCATTCAATAGAAAATGGGTCTATCTGTGCGAGCACATAAGTGACGGCAGCTCAAGATGAGTGCCTGTTTTTTCTTTCTCTCTTTTTTGGTACAGAAGTAAAATTCGAGAGGCAAGTCCCACATTAGCCATGGGGCTCCGTGGTTCGCTCGTACTGAAAGCCCGTGCCGTTCTTGAGTTCATCTTCTTGGTTCTTTCAGTAAAGTCACGTAGAAGGGAAAAAATAAAAATGAAACATAATAAAATAATAATATAATAAAAAAAATAAAAAAAGAATATTATAAAATAGTAAAATAATATAATGTAATAATAAAGTATAATTTTATTATTTTAATTTATTATTTTATTATATTATTTTATAGTATATTATTTTATTATTTTATTATGTTTTATTTTTATTATTTTATTACTTCCCTTCTACGTGACTTTACCGAAAGAACCAAGAAGATGAATCCCTGCAGTCACAAAAGCTTTAAATCGAAAAATGTTTTTGAGTTTTCACAGCTTCACCACGCTTTGATTTTCTGTAATTGTTTGCATTCTGTATACTTTGCAGAGACCTTCTAAGTCTCAAACATGAGCAAAGGTTCACCTGATTCCAATACACCTTAAAGGAATTTCAATGGTTTATATTCCCAATGCTCATGAAAGCGCAATCCCCGATGTTTACGTGAATAGCTGATCTAACTGAAATCTGTCAGATGAAGTTTGCTCGCAGCATTACGACAGCCGGATAGTTTATGACAGCCATGGCACAGGGGATCACTTTTATGTTTGAGAAGCCAAGAATTTAATCTCAACAAATACACTTGAACGGAAAATGCGTAGTGGATTTTGGCAAATAAATAAATTACTGTTTTGTTTTCTTGGACACTGCCACGTATAACTCCACCGTCTGTCACATTTGGTACTTTTTACATGAATGGCATAATAAGTCAAAAAATTCCCACGGTCGCTTTGGCCGGCGTCGTCGTGCCACCGCGCCGCGCTATGAATCACACGCACACACGGCGTATATTTCCTCGTTGTGTACGGGCAACACATTTATAATCTATTTTTGGAAATGTGGCCTTTTCCCCAATTTTTACTCCGATTATTCTTTTGGTGACATGTCATGGGGGGACAAAGGATCCATTTGGAATTCTGGCAGAGCAATGCAATGGCACTGTTGGACATTGGCCCACAGATAGAGATATAACAAAACTACATGTGGGCTCCCTTTAGAGCAACCTCTTATCTACACCCGTGGAAGCACGTTCCCACATGCTGTGCTACACAGAAATGTCCACGGCAAGGCAGTCAAAAAAATAAACATGTTATTCTCAAAACTGGGCTTTGGTGTCCAGGCTGAGACCATTAGCTCACTAGACTTGAGAACCCAGTTTAAATCGCAGTACACTGCCCAGATTCGAGGCCAGGGTGTCGACAGTGCAGGCTGGCTCAGTGCTCTGACCTCTGAACTCCCGGGTCACCTCGCACTGACCCATGCTTTCATCAGCCAGCATTCAGTGTCTCATAAAAGAGACGCTGCTATTGTCTCTGCTGCTCGTGATAATCTTATCTCGGACACCGAGTCGATGTCTGTCAAAGGTGAACACAACTTCCTTTCGAGCTATGTCGAACAAGACACTCGAATTCATTGCATGTTGCTGATAAAGTTGCTTAGTCTAAGCTTGGAAAGTATGCTAAGCATTAATCTTCAATTAGCACGTGCTGCATTCGTGCTGTAGTCCACCTCCAACAACAACAACATTCCATTCACCCCCCCCGCCACGCTCCACTGTCCCTCACCTCCAGGAAGGGGATGAGGAACGCCAGGAAGGACAGCGCCCACACGATGGCGAGGATGGCGCCGGCGCGCGCCGGCGTGAGCACGCGGTTGGCGGGCCGCACGGAGATGTCGTAGCGGTCGATGCTGATGACGAGGACGCTGGCGGCGGTGGCCACGCCGGCGAAGGACGTGGCGGCCTCGTGCGAGCAGCACAGCAGTGGCGTGCTGCGCTCCAGCGGGGACAGCAGCAGGGCCACGGTGAGCGGCACGCAGCCGAGGCAGATGAGGACGTCGAAGACGTGCAGGCTCACCGTCACCGCGTTGCTCACCGAGCCCACGAGGCCCGACTTGGCGCAGTAGAGGGCCAGCACGATGAGGTTGCTGCCGAGGCCCAGCACGATCTCCAGCGTGAGGAGGCTGGTGAGGGCCACTTGCAGGGCGAGCGGGTAGGAGGGGCCCTCGGAGGCTGAGGAGTTGTCCCGCGGTGGAGCGACGCCCGCGGCCAGCTCCCCCGGGGGGATCGGCGACGACGACATCATGTCGGTGACCATTTCGGAAAGATTCCTGGTGCGCATCACGGAGGGTGGCCGGATTTCCCGGTGCCGCAGCTCGATTTTCTGGCCCTCACTATGAGTTTCAAATTGAGAGAGAGAGAGAGGGAGATACGAACGTATCATGGCAACAGGGAGCAAAGTTATATTACTCTCGTGCGGTGTTTTTGTTTCCAATAAACATTGGCCAAATAACATTTTGGGCCTTAAAACACATTTTATGAAACAAATTAGTTGTTTGTAAAAATTGTAGCTTCACCTTCAAGCGTTATTTGCAACGATAACATTAATCTAAACAATATAGAAGTTGGGACCTCCTTTGCCAGTACCAAAATATAATAATAGGTTTTTTCCCATTTTTTCTGGCATCAAAACTGAAACCTTTTTTACTAGGAATCATGTCTGCATTAACCACAATACTTGTGGTCAAAATGCAAACAAAAACATACTCTGATAATATATGCATTGTCCTTGAAACTGATTGGTCCACACCAGAGACAGCTTTCTTTTGAGCCTGGTTAATGCAGACATGATTTCTAGTAAAAAGGTTTCAGTTTTGTTGCCAGAAAAAAGGGGAAAAACCTATTCTTATTTGTTGGTACTGGCAAAGGAGGTCCCATGATGTAGATGCTCACCCCGAGCTCTCATTACTCTGATAGTTCATTGTCTTTGAGCTGTACGCCTTTTGGCATCCTCTGGTCTAACACCGCTTGAGACAAGGCTCAAAAGAAAGCTGTCTCTGGTGTTGACCAATCAGTGTTTTTTGTTAGCATTTTGACCACAAGTATTGTGGTTAATGCAGACATGATTCCTCGTAAAAAAGGTTTCAGTTTTGTTGCCAGAAAAAATAGGAAAAAACGATTCTAATATAGAAGTTGTATTCGCAAAAACATATTAATATCTTTGGTTTTCCGCCAGCAAAAGAATATATATTGATATATCATTATCCACAAAGTCAGAAAAGGGCTTCTCAGAAATGACTGTAATTTCAAAAAATACGATTGGTGTTGTTGTTCCTCCAATGTTGATATCTTTCATAATTAGGCAAAAGCCCTCGCGTCATTTTTTGACACGGTATATTGCGTTTTACACGCTGAAAGACGACGGTACTCACTGTCAAAAAGGTCCCAAGGGGGGTGGCGTTAATCCGACTCGGTTCCCTCATCCAGCGGCTGTTGCATTCCTCTCCGTGATTCATATTCAGGGTAACGTGCGCGCAAACGCGGCGGCGGCGGCGGCGGCGGCGGTGGTGCCAGGGACGGTGGCCTCTTGCCCCAACAGCCCCGAGCTCCCACAGCGTCCACCCGATTGAACTTTGTGAGTCACTGGCGGCGGCGGTGGCGGCGGAGGAGGAAAGCGGCTGACTGCGGCTTCCTGCGAGATGATTTTTCCTGCTGCGTGCCCTGCTCGTGAGCCCTCCGCATCATTCCGAGCGGTGCCACCTGTCGGACGAAAAGCAATCTCCGTAAATCACGGTTTTCAGTGCCTCTCCTGCGCTCATTTAAACGTTTTGTTTTTGCCATGTGCTCCAATGATAAGAAACAAAATGCACGCTAAATTTGATAAACCGTATAGAGCCGCGCGCTTGGCAGGAGGCTTCATTTAACTGGATTAAACAGGTCATCCCAGGACATACGACAATGAATCACACATACTAAGCCAATTTCCCTGTTTAAATATACATTGCTTTAATATTTTTTGACATACTAGAGGGATTATGTTAATGCGAAGAGGTCTACGGGAAAGGGTGCGCCCAGAGGCTTTCTGCAGTGCAGCGGCAGAATCTCCGGACTGGCCGAGCAGACTTGAAGAAACGAACTGATGAAGAACCAAACTGATTCTCCTCCCCGTGAATGTTGTTGTTGTTGTTGTTTTTTTTTTCTCTCTTCCCCCCGCGGCAGAACAAAGCAGAGGAAATGTCATTACAAGGAAGGTAATGCTCACTCCAAGGGAATATGTTGGCCTGTGTGGCCAATATTGAGCACTGAATCTGTATGCAGCACCCAGTGGGAAGATTGATGTAGTGTCTTTCGACATTCTCTCCCTATACATTATTTACCGGCCGGTTCCAGAAGTGGCGAGCCCCACATTTTCCTACAATGTGATTTTTTTAATTATTCAATACCCAAGCTACGACACAGCCATGAGACCATTTGTATTATTCATCTTGGTCCGTGCCTCATGTCTGCCTCCAATCCTGCTGACCTCCAATAAACATAAAAAAATTGTTACAATTCACTCAACCTTTCCGAAATGCATACCCCCCCCCCCATCCTGACAGTAGCACGCCCCCCCCCTTTCCCCAATCAAAAAAACAAAACCGCATATTACACACCTTTTACAAATCCTGTTCGTAAATCATGGAGTTCCACACAGGATTTAAATGATTTCTCTGGCTCCCAATTGACTGCTGGGTCAGGAGGTAAAGCTGAAGAACCGGGAAAAGGTTCCTGGTGTGTGTAGTTTCAGCAGGAAATTGAATCTAAGAATGTATTATTAAGATACACATGATGTATGGACAAGATTTATTGCCCGTCACGTTGACTGCCATGCGGCAGCAGAAGTCTGCTTTCCATCCCAGTGTCACCGGCGATAAATTTACGGACTGAAGTCGAAATGGCTGCGATGTATGACGCGTTCTTGCACTTATTGCAAAAACCGTAAATCATTCGCGGCGAGACATTTTTCCACGCCGCGTTTTCTGATGAAACGTTCTAAAAAAAAAATGTATTATTATTTTTTTGACTGAAGATCGCTCGGGTCACACCGCCGGAGTGACAGCATTGTTTGTATCGATCAGGCCGTGACCTATCTCGAAGCCTTCAAGACTCTTCCCGGTGTATTTCGTGCGCTCCTCCCTCCTGCCAACCTCCTTTTATTTCCTACATCTTCCCTCCCCTGCACGATTGAGCTTTTGTTGTCACTCATCCGGAGCGCACAATGAATACATTAATAAGGTTGGGAGGGGGGGGGGGCACCCAGAAAGCTTTTTTCTAGATTGATTTTTTTCGCTCCCTACCTTCCTGCTCTCTTGCGCCGCTCAATCTGTCAGCTTCTGGACATTTTCTGCTTCCCTGCTACCATGCAGGGCTCAGCCAAAATGGTTGTAAATCCACTCGAGCAAATGTTTGCTTAGCTCTTTAGGCACTGCGCTTGCTCAGTACTGCCCTCCTACCACAGAAGGAAGAGGCGTGAGGGCTTATTACCGAGCAGACCTTTACTAGTAAATTACGCTGCTGCTGCTGCTACGTACGGCACCGGGAGTACGTACGTATGTTGAACTTCTTCGGCGCCGTACGTAGCCAACCGTGCTAATCGGAGGTGCAGGCGAAGGACAGCAAACTGAACGCAGAGAGCAGTTCTAAGGACGGAAAGGAAAGCGGTTCTCGTTTAAAAAAGAAAGGCGCCGGTGCAGCCCTGCAAATCTTTGTTCATGCGACTCCTGGTGGAAAGGCTTTCCATAAGAGAAGCTATGGAGAAGATTTTAGCGTCCTCTGGTCCAACACCGTTTGAGACGAGGCTCCAAAGAAAGCTGTTTCTGGTGTGGACCAATCAGTTTCAAGGACAATGTATATATTATCGGAGCATGTTTTTTGTTTGCATTCTGACCACAAGCATCGTGGTTAATGCAGACATGATTCCTTGTAGAAGGTTTCAGTTTGGTGTTTTAACATCTTAACACAGCTGTTTTGTTTGCCAGCAAAAAGGGGAAAACATATTCTCATATCTACAGAGAGGGTAATATTGGCCTACTCTTTCATGCTGGAAGAGCATCCACATTTTACCCCTCGGCACACGTGACCTGCAGATGAACTGACTGCGTCGTACCCACACACCGCAGTCAGCGGGCACAGACGGGGTGAGGTTGGTGGGTGGGGGGTTTAAGAAACCAGCCCATCAGTTCAACTGCCGCGCTTCGAGATCGAACCTGCGACCTCTGGATTGCACATCCAGTGTGATACTCCACTACACATCGTGGCAGCATGCAATGCCGTGGGGGTCGTGCCCAGGCATCAATGTGGATACAACGTGCCCCCCGCCCCCCCCCCCTGGCTTCCCCAAGTCCTACTCCAGCTTGCGGATAGCTAAAGTAATGACGAATCTTGTTCCTTACATTCGAAATATATCTCCTACAGTCACCCGAAGCCTCGTTTGATAAGATACCCTGGCCGATAGCAAAACCATATACACACACACATTGTTGGTTTTATCAACCCGGGACTTGCCGCACAAAGGGCAAGGAACGGCTCGTGTCAGTTTTGACGGGATGAGCTCCACGATTCTATTACAAAGCTATCTCTCATCGGCACCGCATCCGCCAGTCTTTATGTGTAGCCACGTTTCGCTATTTTTAAGCTTGCATTTTGCCCTGCCCAGTCGTTTCCGTCATTCCCACAAACCCCTGGTAACGCTTTTGACAGTTTATTGTTGTTGTTGTTATTGTTGTTGTTATTGTTGTTGTTATTGTTGTTGTTATTGTTGTTGTTGTTATTGTACGTGCAGCGATTGGGATGAGAGCTGAGAGAGGTGTCCCCAAAGCAATGCCCCCCTCACCCCCCCCCCCAAACTCTTCACTGCAGCGATTCCATAGCTGCAGAATCAACAGCCGTGTGGACTCCGGGTGCTGATTCGCACCAAGGGGATCATTTCACATTAGAGGCGCTATTGACCGTTTTGAATTGGCGTGCCGTCTTGTGAACACGACCAGCCCACTGTCGCCGGTCTAGTCTCAATCTTCTCTCTTCTTACAACGGGACACAGTGGCCCGGGCCTCATGAAGACTTCTAGATTTGAAGCTTTCGTGACTGCAAGGATTCGACCGAAAGAACTAAGAGTATGACCCCATGAAGACTGTAAGGGCGGCACTCGCGTTCACCATTGTGGCAGCACTGCCTCGCACTGCGACTCGTGCTGTTAGTCGGTCATATAATTAAAATACGCCACCCGGGGATTGCCAGAACTCCTGCAATAATGAAAGGCAATTAGACAGGAAACAAAGAGGCATTAGCAAACAAAAGAGCCTCGGGTTATCTCAGCCAATCTGGTAACGTGATACTGGCCTTGCTAATCATTGCGAAGTTATCCACTGGAGATGCCTCCCAGAATTACCTTGTGATGCAGCCAACACCGCTACGTTGAATACATTTTTGGTAATAAAAAAAACGTTGCTGTAATTTGGAACAACTAAGTGTTTTTAATATTACGTGTTAGCTTGTAATGCAGCCAACAAGACTACAGTGGTTATATTATTGGAATTAAAAAAACTAATTTTTCAGTATTATGGAAAAAAAGACTCATTAAAATTATATTTTAGATTAATTTGCTTATGATGCAGCAAACATGACTGCGTTAATTACATTTTTGCAATTTATTTAGTTAATTATTATATTTTCGAGAGAGAGAGAAAAAAAACTAAAGTCAATTACATTTAATAGTTTAAATCCTTTTTCCCGGCTGAAGCTATTTTTGGTGCTTGTTGGAATTTCAGAGTAATTTCATTGTTTATCACAAATCATACACCCTATGTATGCGCAAATTCAGAGGTCCACAGCTTATTGTAGAATCTGATATGTCTCTTTAATCTGCGTACAGTACATATGTAATGGGCCCAGCTGGTGTGATTTTTTTGTCTTGGCTGTCTCTTATATAATACGGTGAATGTTGCCGTCGTTTCATGGATGGCACACTGGACTTGAAATCCAGAGGTCCCCAGTTCGATTTGATCTCCTGGTGTGGCATTTTAAACGATGGTGCAAGATTCTTAAATCTCCCTTCCTCTGGCCGCCCAGCAGTACAGACGAGTACGACAATTAGTAGATCGGCAAGATCACGTGCGGTGAGACGCAAGTGTGGGCACGCTAGCGTATGTTGAAGGAAGTGAAATGGGACGGAGCAAGGTAATTGCCGATGGTCGAGACTGATGCTGGAGTGGCAGCCAGAGGAGAAAAAGAGATTCCCAAGAGGATGTCCACCATGAAAGTGGAGTGATGGTATCAGCTCTCATGCAAGGAGCGAGACTGATTGTTTCATAGCGACACCGTGAGATGGTGGAGGCTTACGAAGGCCTTTCGTCTAGCAGTGGATACGTTCTTTCCCCGCACTTCCGATTAGCACAATTGGCTACGTACGGTGCTAAATAAGTTCAACATACATGGCTGATGATAGTATGTAAATGCAAACGTATCTCACGTTGCCCTACTCAACAGCGGGATGTGCATCGCAGGGAGCAAGGAGTCTATTTAAATGTTTTTTTAAGATGGGAACAGTCTTAGGCAGAGGAGAAGAGGCTCTTCAGCTTGGACCTGAGCGAGGGCTGGGAGTTGAGAGCACGAACGACCGAGTGCAGGGAGTTCCAGATCACAGGTGGTGGGTGCATTGAGGGTTGGGTGGGTGGGTGGGGGGTAATTGAGGAGAAGCAACCTCCCACTGATCTGAAGAACAG